GTGGCCACTTGTTTTCTCACACCAATTAAAGGGCATTTTGACAGATCAGGGACTGCTAAGACTTTACGTCTCAGTGAGGCTTTTAATGAAGCCTGTGCCTTGTAAAGATACTTTGCTCTACAGTAGTTTATCAACTGTCTATAAACGTCTAATATTGATTATTGGTATATTTTCCTTATACATTTAAAAACATCCTGTATAAAATCATCTAAAGCACAAATGACGGTAGCACTTTAGATTAGGGAACACATATTCACTATTAACTAAGAGTTTTCCCTCAATAAATTCCTAATTTGCTGCCTGTTAATAGTTAGTAAGTTAGTTGTTAAGTTTAGGTATGGGGTGGATAAATATGGTCATGCAGAATAACGCATTAATATGTGACAACTAAGTACCGATATAAAGCCAATATGCTAGTAATATGCTAATAAGCAGCTAGTTAATAGTGAGAATTGGTTCTTAAAATAAAGTGTTACCCAAATGAAATACATTTAGGTGTATAGATGTCATTTTTGGTGGGATAAGAATTATAAACCACCATCCAAACAAAGCTCCTTTATTCATATTTACTTTGAACGCACAGCATTGCTCTTGTGGCTTGGAAGCTGGTTTACTAAAACTACTTGCTGTGTGCACTATTTAATTAGTCAGTTTTCAAATTTAGAGAGAAAACAAATATCATCATTCAAAAAAAAAATTTATATATATCAATAAATCACATAATATTATTTCTATCTCAAATGTAAAGTGTCCTTAAGTTATGGAAAGTTAGTATATAAATTAAAAGTTATTACCGTACTGGCCTGAATATAAGACGACCCTGATTATAAGACGACCCCCCTTTTTCCAGATGTAAAAAGGCTTTTTAAAAACCAAATCTTGTTTTTTCTCAGTAAAACAAATTTTGTCTTCAATTATTTTCATATTGCATATTTTTCCTATTTTAATTTTTGTTTTGAAAGTATGGTAAAAACTGGTAAAATGTACCAACAATCACATTTAAAAAATATACACTTTTTGATATACCACTAAAAAAATAAAAGAAAAAAACATCGTCTTATATTCGGGTCAATACGGTATTATTTTTATTGTTGTTAATATTTACATTTATGCATTTAGCAGACGCTTTTATCCAAAGCGACTTACAGTGCATTCAGGCTATACATTTTTTTTTTTACCAGTATGTGTGTTCCTTGGGAATTGAACCCACGACCTTTTGCGCTGCTAACCTGAGAAGGTTCATTCTGTCTTTGCACACAAAGCTAATAAAAAAATAAAATAAAAAAAAACTATGGCAAATACACCAATCATTTCAGTTCTGATTCAGTGGCTTTAATACCAGTTATAAAGTTAAACAGCTGCTATGCAACTCTTTGTATATATAATGTAAAATTCTACTAAAATATGCACCTATGATGCCTAAAGGCTCTTTCATACACTCACAAAATGTTGTAAGCATACAGTACATGTTTAAATACATGTTGTCAGATGAGGTTTTAGTAACAATGTTTTCCTGCAACTAATTAATCATAACAATCTTTAAGTGTGCATGCATGCAGGCTGGTGGTGTTTGATTTAATATTAGCAGACAGCAAATGAGCCTTACAAGACACAGGCATCTGCAGTAGTACAAGAGTGCATTGTATCGTTGTGTGCCTTGGTGCTGATAAGAGATGTGTCGGCAAAACCCTGAAAAAGCTTGTTTTCCCAACCCTCAGTCCTCATTAGGCTCAATCAATACTCCTTTAGTCCTTCAGCTTACTGACTCATTTCAAAATAACATTACAGGTCATTTGTCTCATCGTTGACTAGGCTGTATTAAGGTGCTTTCTCGCTCTCAGAGCAAAGAATGACACAGGGAGGAGAGAGAATGTCGGATACTGAGATTTCTACATTGTGGATACAACTTTAAATATTTTTTTGGTGAGAAGTCATTGAAAAATCAATGTTTGCTTCCTACAATCCATTTCAACCAAATCAATCATAATCTAGCCGGCTGGCAGGGGAAAGAGAGAGAGAGACAGGGGGAGGGAGATGAGAGAGAGAGACACAGAAAGAACGAGAGAGAAAAATGCACACAATCTTTGTCTGAAATCTCTCAATTCTAAATCCATTCTCATAAAAAGCTCATCATCACATCGTTTAGCCTGGCTAACGGCCTGTCAGTCACCAGGGGCCTCTGAGGAAGACTACCGGGAATATGGAGCCACAGCTGGGGGATCCAGGGACCCAGTCTATCTCTGCCATATGAACACTTTAAAATTGACTGGGGTGGTAAAGGCTATCATGATGAGAATCAGCAAGTCGATTAAATCTGCTAGAAGTCCCTCATGGTATTTTCACACCTGTTCCAGGGGGCAGAAAAAAATACCAGAGTAATCATGTTTAAAATAAATGAGCTGCTGCATCAACATTCTAGGTGGTTTCAATAAAATGTCCTACTTTTTTTTTTTTTTTGATCGTCCTTGTTATATTGCCTTTTACATATTGCATTATTGTGCAAAGATTCAGACTCTTGCATATCCGCACGACTAGTCATATTACAAACATGCATAATTGGAAACATAAGCGTCCGTCATAAAACAAGCAAGAGAATAACGTATACATCAGTGAGCGCACATATCCTAACATAAGCCTACACCTCCCCTTGCCGTCCAGTCTGGGAGTTCACGGGAAAATATAGCACGAACTATTTCAAAGACCCCTCTGCTAAAACACCATGTTCAAAAGTGCTGTTGTTCAAATATTCGTCCCCTTACCTACTGCTTTGATGAGGTTATTATATAAAGAATGTCATTTAAGTTAAATAAGCAGTTTCCTACCTTTATGCCATGCAGCGCGTGTAGAGTGTGACTAGTCCATGCTGCATTTTCTCTTTCCAAGCTTTCTTTCATTCACCCCTCCACTATCGCTAAACAGACTGCTTATCGAATCCTATTGGCGAAGAGGAACTCGTTACTGCCGATAATACTCTATCAATGAATACTGACGTCATTTAAATGCTACTCCCGGGTATCCTTGGAAACCGATGCGCTATTTAGAGGTGACTGTGCAATGGCCACTTCCAGCTGTGCTTCAGCAAATAAAACAAACAAACAAACAAACAAACAAAACAAACAAAACAAACAAAATAAAAACATATAGTATAGCAAGTGGGGTATTTAACGAGGTTAAGGATTTTATATGGAATATGTATTTTTTTCTGTTACATGCACTCGATTCAAAATGTAAAATGAAAATAAAAACGTGTATGACTATTCTGGTTTACTCATTAATAGATATTACAAGAAATAGCACTCATAAGCTATTGTCATTCTCGAAAGCTCCTCAACTCGATTTCATTTATTTATATACATTCAAGGGTGGTGCATATATAATAAAAACACTTCACTATATCACAGTCGACAACGCGGTAATTTCGTATGTCTACAGTTTGTTTTGCTTTGAACTTAGCATTGGTCCACTGAGTTTGAGCGTCATCATTCTTCACTCCTGAGAGTGCATGAACACACTCTGTAGCAGCGCCTACAGCGATCCCTTTCGGCTCAGAGAGACTTTAACAAGTGAGCCAATCCACTGACTCCTGCGTGAAGTTCCTCAGCCACCACTTTTGTTTTTGTTTCTTTAGTTTTTGCTTATCATTCATCAACACTGGATGTATTTATCAGTTCACCTGCCATTTGTAAATATGTGTAAATGAAACTTGGTAGTTTAGTAGATTTTGTATTAATGCAACTTTACTGCCATTTCCAACATAATGTGTGTGGAATGTGTGGTCGGCACGTACGCAATTTAATTAGGCACACACACACACACACACACACACACACACACACACACACACACACACATTTTGCTTGTTTTTATTAGGTTTTTGAGTTAGATGTATCATTTACTGTTGTGATGACGTGTAGTAGCCTATATGAAATAAAAAATAGTTCTAATGCGTTTTTATAGGCTAAATAAAATATTTAAGATATAGCTCTTGTTATTTGTTAGTATATACGCACACAATATAGTCTGCGAGCAAATAGAATAAAATACATGAGGATATTCTCCGCCGCAGAGGAATATATCTCTTTGAATCAAAGGGGTTTAGAGCCCCTGGTCGTGATGGATTTGCCGTGGTTCATATGGTCTTAATCTGTCTGCGCTTGGGGCTTTGGTGTAAAGGAGAAGAAGATCTGGTTTGTTCCGGGATCTAAGGCGAAAACTGTCCAGCGGACAAATCAGTTAACACCTGTCAAAAGTTACTTCTTCACTTTCTTACCGCTGAGACTTGATCTAAGCGCGCATAAAGTCAATTAAGGTTCTTTGTTTCTGAAAAATGAGGGAAAACCGTTTTGCAAAAACTATTGTGTAAAAATGTTGTCACACCCCCCACCCACCCAAGCTATAGCTAATTATAGCCTACAATGAGGCAATAAAATAGACTACCTACAAATTATCCATGATCATTTGCAAACGCATGACACTTCGAACGTGACACCAAAACAAATCCGTGCTCAGCTGACTTAAGGTGCGATGGATCACAGTCTGTCGCGCATTCTTGAAAAAAAAAACTATGTTTCTAGAAGCTTGAATGAGCGACGAGAACACAAAAAAACAAGTAGAATGAAGAACTGCAAACAGTACTTGTAGCGTCTCCTGTCGTATTTGACAAGCCGTCCCAAGAAGATAACAGTCCATTTGTTATTAATCATTTGTGAAAATGAAGGATTCGTGTATTTAGAAAATGAGGAAAGTTGAAGTTGATGCACTGGCTCGCATGAGACCGCCATCCAGGGGCTGTAGCTGCTCAGTCTAAGGCATTGAGGCTTGTTAGGGACAAAAATAGGGGGATAGCGAGGGAGATTGTTAGTGAGTGCCAGGGTACGAATGTAGAGAGAGAGAGAGAGAGAGAGAGAGAGAGAGAGAGAGAGAGAGAGATCAAGCAGGGCGTCGATTCAGGCTGGGCTGCTGTAACCCAGCTCCAGCTTGCCTTTCCTTCGATGACTACACCCCGAGAGGAGGAGCGAGAGGCTCATAGTAGGCGTCAGAATCCTCAATTTCCAACTTAGCATCCTGGCAGGACACTCTCCGAAGCAAAGTCCCATCCGAAAGCAAAAAACTTGTCCCGCGCGCTCGGCATGAGAGTCACAGCGCGCGCAGAGAGTGAGAGAGCGCCTCGAAAATCCGCGTGTGAGTCTGACAACGACTGATTAACGAGTGCGAAGTCTATGCATTCGTCGTTCTCTTTAATTTCCATCACTGCTACCAACGTGTGGAGGACGGGACGGAGGTCTGTTTACTCGGAACTCTATGAGCGAGCGCAAAGAGCGCGTGAGAGTTTGAGGAAGAAGAACTCAAGTGAGAAGCTTATATTTGGATCTTCACCATGGCGTACCCTCAGGGCTACTTGTATCAGCCATCCGCCTCTCTGGCACTCTATTCGTGTCCTGCCTACAGTACAAGCGTGATATCGGGACCCCGGACAGAGGAGCTAGGGAGATCTTCCTCTGGCTCTGCTTTCGCTCCCTACGCCGGATCTACAGCGTTCACCAGCGCCTCGCCAGGTTACAATTCCCATCTCCCGTACAGCGCTGATGCGGCCGCTGCCACTTTCACTTCTTATGTGGTGAGTGCGCTATTCACGGTCTTATTTTTCTACTTTTAGAAGTTGCCGGATAATTTTTTACTCTTTGTTGTAATGCATGTTGTGTTGCAATACTGAGACACATAGTAATCATTTGCGCAACATCTGCGGTTTTATCAATCAAATAGGCCTATGCATTCGCGGAATTTGGCTGGGTTTCATGACACTTTTAAATAAAATATATTGCAGTACAATTTTTTAAAACAACCAAAAAATTGCTCTTAAACAGACATTACAACAAAATGGCATTTGATAGTTTTCTCTAGGCTACACCGTAAATAAAGCAATTAACTTCGAATTATAGAAATGCAAATTGAAAAACATACAAACATGATTTCGCGTATTTACTGAATTAAATAGGCCTATACATATAGCCTACATAATTATTTTTGTTGTCATTTGTGGCAATACGACTTCCTCAGTTCGGTGGGCTGCAGGCGAGCAATTTTCCTGATATCAAAAGGAATACATTATCAGTTGTTCCCCATTTGTCTTTAACCATGTATTTAGTCAAATGGGCTACTTAAAGGAAACACGTTCTACCGGCTATTTAAATGTGAACTGCGTGCACGTAGGCCAGCGCTGGTCAATGCGTGTATAACACATTGTCAGATGACCCCACATAAAGCTGCAACTTCTAATTAGCTGGCTAATCTGAAAATAAATATTGTCAAAAGTCAGTTTAGCTGTCGAAGGGAGGTTTATGATCGTTAACAAAGAGGAGGGATTTTGGATGGAAAGTTGTGAAATTGGATTTCACAATAATTCTTGCTGAGGGGAATGAGGCAACTGACACAATTTAAATGATAGAATACGTAGCCCCACTGCCTTGCGCTTTACTGTTTTGATTAATTAGATTTAAAGTGTGTACATGTGGCATGCATGTGTGTGAGCAAGAGTGTGTTTGTTTATGGTGTGTTTGCGTAAGTGATCTGTAACCGATCCACCATTGTGCGCAGGTGTCCATAAAGTGATCTTTTGCTAATAAAACCATTGGTTTGGCTCCTTGCAGAGCTCCCCGTATGACCACACGACAGGCATGGCCGGATCTATAGGGTATCATCCTTACGCTGCTCCCTTGGGCTCGTACCCGTATGGAGACCCAGCTTACCGCAAGAATGCTACCCGGGACGCAACAGCCACTTTGAAAGCTTGGCTTAGCGAGCACCGGAAAAACCCGTACCCCACCAAAGGCGAGAAGATTATGCTGGCCATCATCACGAAAATGACCCTCACTCAAGTGTCCACCTGGTTCGCCAACGCCAGGAGGAGGCTAAAGAAGGAGAACAAGATGACCTGGACCCCACGGAACCGGAGCGAGGACGAGGAGGAGGACGAAAACATTGATCTCGAGAAAAACGACGACGACGAGCCAAATAAGCCCACGGACAAGGGAGACTCCACAGACACAGAGGCAGGTCTGTGGAAAAATCATCAATTTTTCATCGCAGTCGTTTCCACTCCGGGCGCAAAATTGATTGGTGGTTAATGGTGGTATATTATTTATAATGGGAGAATTGCTTTAAATAATAATCACCTTGAACTCCTCTAATTTGACTTCTTATGGACTGAGAATTGCTGGTGACGTATGGTGTTTTGCACTTCATTTATCTCGAGCTGCATAATAAGGACACAGCTGGCGCACGGCAGCTCATTTAGAGCTATAATAACACCAGCCATATTTTATTATTATTATTATGATTATTATTATTAAAAAATAATAATAAATGTTAAATTCCTTTTCCGTTGCACAGAAATACATTTAATTATTTTTTTTTTTAATTGTGAAACTAAGCATACACAACGGTTTAAAAATGATATATTATGTTATTGTCAACAAATTTTGTTTTATAAAATCTATTTTTTTTTAACTTTCAGATCATAAACTCATCAACCCAGCGGAGCTACCATGCGACAGGTTTAAAGACGAGTCTCATGCTAAAGATCTTGATCCACCTTTGACAGACTCGGAATTAAAAGACACAGAGGAGAGGTCGGATTTGCTCGCCGAGCAAGCAAAACCCACCACCTCTTCTCCCTCCGTCCTACAGAGAGGGAATGATCTCATTACGCAAGAAAAGCCCTCAGAACCGGGCCACGCCGCGAGCACGGGGAACAGCAACGTAACGTCTGTTATTCATTCTCCCCCTTCGGCGCCCAAACCCAAACTCTGGTCTCTAGCCGAGATCGCCACGTCCTCGGACAGGTGCAAAGGGAGCAGTGAGGCTCCACAGGCCGGGGGGCTGGGTCAAAGCACAGTCATAGCCAGCGCTGCCTCGCCGACCCGGTCCTCCCCTCAGTGCCCTCTCCCTAATAACACTGTCCTTTCTCGGCCTATTTACTACACGTCCCCTTTTTACCCGGGCTACACGAACTATAGCACTTTCGGACACCTCCACAGCAGCCACGGCACCAACACCAGCTCCACGGCACATTTCAATGGATTAAGCCAAACTGTTTTAAACAGAGCCGAGGCTCTGGTAAGAGAGAGCAAAGTAAGAAGCCAAACACAGGTAGATCTTTGTAAAGACTCACCTTATGAGCTAAAGAAAGGTATGTCAAACATTTAATACCGGATTCATCGCCAATCACACGGACATTTATTTATTATTTGTGGTTGCTTAAAGAAGAAGCAAAAGAAGACGCATTCTGATTTAAAAGAAAAAAAAATCCGAGGACAATTATTTTCTGAGTAAATGCTTATCCTCAAAATCTTAGTTTCTGAATGGTTAATCAAGAGGATGTAACTTCTAAGAATTGTCTTAAACGCTGCAGCCGCCTGAGTCTATTTGTATTAAAGACTAATATGTATATTTAATGTAGCATTTTGTATTTAAAATGGACAATACACTATCTTTGAAGTAAATTATGGAAAAGAAAATGTGTGCAGCGATTGATTTGAGAGTTTGCATGCATGTTAATGAGAATTTGATGGCTGCACCATTTAAAGCGATATTATTTATTTGCGGATACGTGACATCATGACCGGACAGATAGACTGTTATTGCTAAACGCTGAAATGCTGAGTAAAGCATAATACTTGGAATTAGCATGAACATACTGTTTCAGGATTTACCCCTAAAAAACAAGCAAGGGCGGCACATTTTGAAACTCAGGCGGTTTGGGAAAAGCTATATGAAGACGGGTCTCTCTATTTGTCGGTTGCTGTTAAGTTTTTACCGATAGCATTCAGTCGGGGCAATGCTCATCTCTATTTTGCAAACAGAGAGATGCCTCGACGTATGAATATTGATATGACAACACCGGCAAAAGTGTCGAGCAGTCATTTAACCCAATTACATTCCAACTGCGTCGTGTTATATGCAAAGCAATCAGGTGGCGAACTCCAGTAATGAGTTCGATTTTATGCCAAATTTAGAACTCATTACAATTTCCTAGGCGTGGCAAAGTGGTTAGAGGCGCGCGGCGAAGCAGAGTGGGTCTGGGTGCATACTGCTCTGTTATATCATTAAATGGTAGAATAGGCTTAATAGTGCTTTGGATTATAGACGCTGATGGCTTTCAAGAGTGTAGCCAAGGTGCCGTGACAAGCAAATGTCCCCCTTGCATGGCCTGTCCCTTAGTACTGTCCTGCACCTCTACCCTCACCCGCAGGTAGGTGTCACACTTGCTCTTAATTTCGAGGGCTGACTCTTTAGGAGACTGTGAGCGAACCTTTTTCAAGAGGCACAGATAACCTGGAATAACAGATTATAAATAAGGTTTAAAATGTTTATGTGCTTTAGCAATTACAGAAAGAGTTATCAAGATATAAATTCTCACGAAGAGATTGCAATTAAGATTAATAATAAATAAAGATTTCAACTGATTTGGTTATACATTTTAAGCTATTTCAGTCTCCAAATTACAACACAACAAATCCATAAATTATACAACTCTCTGGAACATAATTGAAAAAAAAAATTAATTGTTAAAAATTATTTTGTCGTTCGTTATATGTGCAAATCAGTTGTATTATTTAACATGGTTCCATTAAATATAATTATAATTATTACACAATATTAATATCATTAATAGAACTGCCTTTCAGTATCGAAGTATGACCTACTTAAAATGGACACGGACAATTACATTTTTAGCACATCCTCTACATAGGACTGATATTTTCAGCATTTCATCTAAAAAATATTGAATCGTTTGCATTTAATTATAACCAGAAATGTATAATAAAAATAATAATAATAATAAACGTGAGGACGGGAAGCGACTTGATTCAGTCGGAGGTCGTGTCATTAATCTCTATAGTTTACTTTGCGCACTCTAGTTGAAAAGTCCCCTGGGTTTCATTTAATTCCCCTGGCTCTAATGTCCTTCCCCGGCAGCAGAGCGGGTGAGGGGGGCAGCTATATTTAATCTCTCGGAGTGGGTTGGAGCTGCTGCTGCAACACATCAGCCGGCTAAATAGCATAATTATGTTTTTCTTTGCTGATCCCTCTAGGAGTTGAAGCATTCGATGCAATGCCCCGTGTGTGCATAAGCCCTTCTAGAAGTTTAAAAAGCAGCAATTTATATTCTCGAAGACACATGGTTACATTTTCCTCCCGAATTAATCTAATAAACATTCATTCGCCTGCATAGTTACATTTTTAGAAAATATCCTCTCTTCTAATGCTGATATGCCAGGATTAAATATTGAAATATCGATAATAATTTACGATCTAATTTTACGCATGATGGAAATCAATTAGATATTTCAACTGGACGGGGATTGTGTAAAAGCTGATTTCTACGCCTATAGACACAATAGGGTGAGTCTTTTGAACACGCTGAAGATGCCTAATGTACTCTGTAAAGGTCGTGTGAACTTCAAATAAAATTGCATGGCTATAATGCAAAAATAAAACCTATATTTAACTTTAAGATTTTCAAAGGCCAATCACTAACACGTGACTTAAATCAGTGATTGTCTATTTTAATTTGCTGTGTTAAGGGTATAGGGTAGTATACTATTATAACGAAAGACAATGGGATAGTGTTATTCAATCTTGTCGGTAATAGTTTTAGTCTGCAGCCTATATATTAAAATAGCCTATTTTAAACACAATCTTCAATTATCTTCAACGTGACACAATGTATTAATCCAGTAAGCTTTTAGATTCGGGTCCGCCGGTCCGTGCTTTTGTAAGAATGAATAACCGCACGAACTCCGTAATGATCCCATGCGACTTTGTTCAACTTTTTTTCCCGCGTCTCTCTCTCTCGCTCTCTCTCTTCCAGTTGAATGGGTCTCAGTCTCATTGTTCGGAAGAGATCCACATTCACTGTGTGTGCATGTCAAATGAGAGCAAGACCGTTCCCACGTGTAAAAAAAGAGAGACTGAGACGAATCTAACTGATAGGCCAAATAAAGAAAGTATATGCTGAAATAAGATTTTAAAATGTAAATTTGCTGTTCTGCGAATAAACTTTACCGCAGTTCTACAATAAGTCAAAGGAAAAGAGCAGCAAAAGAGCAGTGTTACCAGAAACGACTTCATTTACGATTTTCCTTAATAATATTAGGTGGGGCTGCGATGTAAACTCTAAAAAATAAAATAGCTTATTATTATTAGCCTATTGTTATCATTATTATCATTATTATTATTTGGTTATACCCCTGGATTAATTTCACCTTAGTTTCTGAACAATAGGCTATATCGAACGAGGGTAGGGGAAAACGAAATTATAACGAAATTACTCCGACGAAATTAAAATAGCGTTTACTGCAATAATTCCCGAGCTGCTCAAAAATAGGCTACACTAGCAAAGCGAGTGTCGACAGGCCCCTTGCAACTATTTGCTTTCATTAGAAACGTGACATTAGCTTATTCACGCAGCAGGAAAAAAAAATCTGGAAAAAAAAACTGAAAAGAAACTGGACAAACACTAGTCGAAATAAATGGAGGGGAAAGTGAGACGAAAACAACCCAGCAAACTAATGATTTTTGGGCACATTTACATTAATTGGGAACTACAACTAGATTGGACATTTGAAACTGGAAACTTAATAAAACTGTACATATAAATATACATATTTTAAAAAATAGCTATATATGTCCCAGCATGCATTTTAGAAAGCCGCGCACTCATAATGCACGCACCCATAATTCCACAAAATCCCTTTCCTCTTTATAGGCTGCATTCCTAAATATTACAGGAATTGTCAGTAAAATTGTAGGGATAAAATGCAGTACTGATCCTCTAAAATTCAGTGTAGCTAAATATCCTCTGGGCATATTTCATAAACGTGTTTGCATATATCATGCAGCAACAGCGTTTCCACGCTCTACAACCTCACAAAACCAAGCACCAAATCAACATTTTTATGAACAAGACTCTGTTGCATCTCTGCTTAATACATAATGATAAATATGAGTTTAAAACAGAAAATTTGATCTTAAAACATTCACGAGTAAAATTACACCTGCCACGTAATCGAGCAGTGACAGACTCCAGAAAAACAGGTAAAGTCTATGGCGTAATCAGAACCTGTTGATAAAAAATAATCGCTAAATCACCGTTAAAATGTACCGGACCGGATTTCTGCATAATATCGACAGTCCACCTGATAAGAGCTAACTACTACTTGATCCCTCCAGACTAACACTACTCCAGCTGAGTCGAATCAAATTCAGCTCGAATGTGTAAAAGGACACCCATTTATTTGACCTGCTTATAATATGCGCTGGGACATCTGTGCGAGGCAGCAGAGCAAGTGTGGCCAAATTCAGAACTGTTTTTCTTCCTTCTCTGTCTCTTCTTGAAGTTAACAATATGTCGGTTGATTGGGGCTAGTTGGTTTAGAAAAATAGAGAGACGAGAAAACCGCTTGAGGGGACATTGGTCGAAAGAAAAGCTGGTTTTTAAAAGTGGACAAAAAGACAGAAATAATCGCAAAAACTGATTGTGCCTGAATATCTTTTTCCCTTCTAAACATCATCCTCACCCTCTATTAAGAAACTGAAGTGGACTGGCCTCTTCAGTACGGCATGATGGGAATACCTCCTCGCTTTTATTTAATCATCCAATCCCACTGAGGAAACTCTTAATTAATTATGGGTGCTAAAAATTCACACCAGCTGTTTCTCTCGTACTCTCTCTTCACTCCGGGGCGAAGAGTGTGACGCGGCCATGGGGCGTAATTTTCACAAATTAGCCCATTTTCTCCCCCAAAAATCGAGCTCCTGTCAGGATTGTTCTGACGTAGCCTATATCATTTCGCGGGCTCCAACGGCAAGCAGACGAGGGGAGAAGGAGAAGTAAAGAGCGGCTTTTCGGCACGGCCTATTCGACACATATAAATCGTTCGCGTTAAAGGAACATTTTGGATAGGCAGACGCACATTGTAAATTGAGCCAGATGAAGTGACAGGCTGTGATTTACTGCTATTTACCCCCACTTTAGCCTAGACTTCACCCACTGTTTTCCTATTGCCCGCGTGCGGCTCTCTGGGGAGAGATTACACGTGTCATTTTCAGCTTTCTGATGTTTTAAGTGAAACCTCGTTTTTTTTTTTAACGTTAACGAAGAATAATCACCCGAGCGCTTTTTTTTGACGCATATTATGGAAAGAATAAATAGGCTAAATAGTTGCTTAATTCAGCACATTAAATTAAAGCACATATTTTTATCTGCGCTCTTTTAAAGCTGAAATGTAATAATATGAGCAGAACTGTC